ATAGATCCACATCAAGCTGAAAGAAAAGCTAATTTGCGCTTTCCTGTGAGCCTTCGCAAAAGAATCGGTGGTCATCTCGGGGAACCATCAGGCCCTCCACCCAAAAAACCTTGTGCTGATTTCAAAAGACGTTATTTGTGTCCGGTAAAAAAAGATCGCAAATCGAAATGCATTTGTATTGTGTGTTCGAGTCACATTTGCATGGAGCATGCAAACTTTATGTGCGAAGATTGTCGCTTATATTGGCAGTGAATAATTACCCTTAACCAGGGTTAGTTTTTATTTCAGCGTTATCTAACTATAGAATCTGAGTGCCTTAAATAAACCAGTCAGATTTTACCTCGACTTTTTAGTATAAGATATTGATTAAAAACTATTGAGTCTATTTTTTGTTAGCTTGAAAACAGAAATACTTTCATTCGATTAATAAATAAATTTAAAATATAAATAGCTCTATTTTTTATTTATTTCCTACAAATATAATAAACATAATTGCTAAATACGTGCAATCTAATATTCCTATAGCATTTCTTTATGTAAAAAAAAAATGTAATTTTGGGTCCGCCAGACCTACCAGGCATACGGCGTGATTTCAATCCAACATACCAAGGGTTAATTATTAAAGTCCAAATAATCCTCATAAAATTTAAATTGAGAACATCAGCCCTTAGATACTACTCCCCATTTAGTTCATTATAGTTGTGATAAAAGTATGTGTTGGTAATTTTGCTCACTTTATCTGAAGTGATTCTTATTTAAAACTTGATAAACTTTAAACTTATTATCTTATTTGTACAATGTAGTTTTTGTAGCTACCAATACAAAATATGGCTTAAATTGCTCTTTATGGGGTGTGTTATATGTTTGATGATAATTCGAACAGTTATTTGTTAATATACTTTTTAACATTATAATTTCTATTTATATTTGCCATGGAGAGGCAAACTGTGGGTGTTAGAGGCAGCAGAGGGAAATAAAACCTAGGTATCAGCATCTTCCTGATGCATGGCATGGCATGTTGCATGGCAACTATGGCAATAGAATAGAATAGAATATTGATTTATTTGCATAGAATGTAGGTAATTTACAAAAAGGGTGTTGACAGAGTACATAAAAGATCCGTACATTCTACCATTTTGGCATGCAAATATTAAATTAAAATTTATTTCTATACTACACTAGTAAATAATTATTAATAGATTTAATATGATTATTATGATTATAAATAGTTATTACATTATTATTATTAAAAGTATTGCATTTTTTATTACTATTACATTATATCGATTTTTGAATTAATATTGCAGGTAGCTTATTACATTATAAATTACTAATACTAACAGATTATACAAAACAATTAATTTACTGAACGTTATTTTATATGGGTATCATCTAAAAAGTCCGATACTGAGTAGTAGCACCTTTCCAATAACAAAGAAGTAAGACTCTTTTTAAATATTCTTATCGGTTGATTTTTTTACAAAATTAGGAATTTTATTTTAAATGACTGGTGTGACTGGCCATGCCCATAACACTTTTATTAATAAAGCTGTTTGAAATCTTCCTGTGTACAATAAGTCTTTATATTGCGTTCTCGTAGGTACAATTCGTACTCGAGTTTCATTTAAGGTAGGAAATAAATTTTGACAAATATCCCTAGGTTTTATTATTATACTGTCCCAAGATATATGGGTTGGGAGGAGGTGGCAGGGGTGGAGAGGATAACCCTGCGGGTAGAGGAAGGAGAAAAATCAATGATTTTCCCAAAAAAAATCTAAGATTTGGGGGAGATGCACTTACTCCCATTTTACAATAACACTAAGGTTACTAGGGACAAAGATCATATGGATAAGTCTATGAGAAACTCTGTTTGCCTTTAAATCCTACTTAACACATGCAAGTGTTTTGTTTTTTGTGGGTGCTATATATTTGTGAGTCATAAGGGAACCTAACATTTAAGTTTCTTGCATATTGAAGAATTGAAAAAAAAATCACTTTTGTACACATTATTTTAAACTTTTGGGTAACATTCGGCTTCACCCACCAGTTGAAGCTGGGGTAATTCTTGTTAATGCGTGCATCCACTGCATTGCAATTTATGCCCTATTTATTTTTCATTTACATAACATAAAAAATAGGCAGCCACATTTCAAACTATTGCTGATGCAATAGGTTGAAATGTGGTGAAAATATCAATATTGCTGATTTCTTGATAGGTACTTTCCTGTTTTTGACACTAACCTACCCTAATAACCCGTGCACCCACTGTCACCTAACTTCTCTAAATAGTTGCAAATGTAATGTTAGAATTAAATGGAGCAATACAGCTAGGTAATAGGAAGTAAGTAAAATTAAAGTTATAGTCTATATACATCCCACTACTGGGCACAGGCCTCATTCTGAGAGGGTTTAGGGAAAGGAAGTATCCGTCGCGCTGCCGCAATGCTTGTTGGCGAACTTTACATGTCTTCAAAATAGCTTTATGTTCCTCAAAGATGCAGGTTTCCTCATGATATTTTCTTTCACCGCCGAGCACGTGGTAATTCAGCACTTAAAATTACAATTCACAATTTCATTGTTACCGGCCGGGATCGCACCCGGGTTGCTCGCGTACTGTGAAATTTTCAGCGAGCGCTAACCATCTGAGCTACCAGGCACCTTATTAATTATAATTAAAAGGTCTATATAATTTGTTCAAGTATTACGTAAGCAAACTTTCTATGAGTTTAGACCCCCACACCCCCTGTAAAAGCAAAAATAAGTAAATTGCTAACTCCCCCCCTCACCCTCTTCCCAAATGTTAAGACGTAAAAATTTATTCAATGACGTAAGATGTAAAAATTCAATAAAAGTTTATTTAAAGTTAAAATTTAAAAGAATCAATTATTTTTAAAATAAAAATATTGATGTCTTAATAAAATTAGAAATATTAGAATAATTTTCATAAAACTAGCTTTTACGGATTTTATCGCGTATATTACTTATTTAACATTCCCGACGTTTCGAGCACTTTAAATGTGTAGTGTTCGCATAAAAGTATAAGAAATCATTAAGAATCATTTAATGTCCACAGGCTCCAAGTTTCTACATCATTAACAATGGTAGCTTCTTCACGATTCATGCTATAATTTAATTTTTGTTACGTATGATATATTTCTTTCAGAAGTAAGAAACTTTAGCCCACCCCTAAGCGTGCTTACGTGATACTTGAACGCCTCCGTAGCTTCAAAAGTTGGTGCTAAGACAATATGGAATATAGAAAAGAAGTATGGAAGCTCCGACTTCAGAAGCTATTATGTGGATATTATTTTTTACCGACTTCAAAAAGGAGGTATTCAATTCGACTGTACGTTTTTTATGGCTGGTGCTTGTTTTGTGGTCCTATATAAATTTAATCAAGATCTGACAAGTAGTTTTTGAGTTATCTTAAATAATGCGTATATATCTTAAATTACATATGACAAATAAAAAGATACAATCGAATTGAGAACCTCCGCCTTTCGGCTAATGTAGTACTTCCCATTTTTTGAAAAACTGTTGTTAAATAAGTTAACTTAGCTACTGTAATTACAAATTTAAGAGAAAGCACAAACTGAGACTTAAACAAAACAGTTTATGAATCTATGAAGTATCCTATCATATTGCATTTCACCCATTCACGCCATTTAAAGCCCAAGGAAATGTCTGTGGTGCCAATCAGATTGACTTACTGCATTTGCAAAACAGAATAAAACCAAAGGGTGAGGTCTCTAGTATATATACAGTAAACTATGGGGTGAGGGTTCCGATCCTGCACTCCACAAATCAATACAGGGGCAAATCTTACACCCGTATTTATAAACAAGTAAAAGTAATCACTTAAGTAACGAGTTGTATTCGATAGTTAAGTAATTGCTCCAAGTTAGAACAGTCAAAATTTGGAATACTCAGCCAAGTAATAGTCACCATTTCCTTTGCTTAAGCACTACTTTGAGGTTATTTTGGATAAAAAATGAAAACTTTGGATAGCATTGGAAGTTTTGCTGTTGTAGACAATATAGATGATATTATATTAGAGGAGATAGAATTTGAAATTTTTTTTTTCAAATATATATATATCGTATAAATAATCATTTGAACAGAAATTGAACAAATAAGTATAATAATCAAACATTATATTTATGTTGTAAGTTTTACTCTATTTACTTTAACACATTTAATTTTATCGATAATAATTATTTTTAACAGAAAACAAGAATTAATTAAACATTTTTTTTTTACTTTTACGTTTATTTCTTTAGAGTTGAATTTTAAAATAACGATTTTGACAACCTGGCGCATAGTAAGCGCTCACGGGGTACCGAAGTTGCCACAATAAACAAATAGATCTTAGCTGGGCTAAGAAGCCCGGGTGACAACACTTTTATGCCATCTCACATCTCCAACTCATCTCCCTTTATAGGACTGACAGGTGATTAAATGGATATAATATGTAACTCTTTTTTCGGGATTATGTTATTTCTGCTAAATGAACCTTCTTTAAAAGTTTCGACGTTATCTAACTTTGAAATTTTTTTACGAATATTTATTTTCGGCGTCATAAAAATCGTGTTAATCGTCGTTCGTAAGTTTTAACATACGGGATTTTATGCCTTAGAATTGTTGTTTATTTCGAAACCTTTAACAGTAAGTCAAAACATCGTTCGTAATAATGAAGAACTATGTTTATGAACACAGAAACAACCACCAAGCGTAGTGTGTTACTTGGGCATTTGCTCAAGTAAGTAACGTATGTTACTCAACTATAGAATGAGATTTTGTAATTAAGAATTCTAACCTTAAGTAATGACTTAACTAAGAAATTACTTGGCAAAAAGTAATTACTTCTTTATAAATACGGGTATTAGTGTGGGTAGTGTTTATGTTTAAGAAATAAATAAACAACGCTTTTTGGAGTTCTCTACCAGCGGCTAGAAAATACTTTCTCAAATAAGTCTTTCACAAATGTGACTATTTTGCAGAGAAAATGAGGATGGCTTTCAGTCAGTTTCGAGCATGCCAAATGTCTACAGGTACGGCATTAACAAATTGATACCTGCCCTCACAGAGCTGGTTGATAAAGGATTAAAGGCGATTCTTATATTTGGAGTGGTGGAAACATTGGAGAAGGTAAACTAGGCTTGGCATGTTGCATGTGTATACAGTACCTAGGCGAACATAAGTCCTAACCGGTCATGAGTTTCTTTTATAAAACTACTAAAAATGCCATACGTCCCCGCCACGACAAGGCGGAATCCAGTTCGGAGGGTGAGGGGGGGGTCGGTACATGAACACCTGCAGTCAACTTAAAACAAAGAAGGCTGCAGATGCGTTGTCACCCATGAAGACTAATATGGAATGCCTGACAGCCTGTAATTGTACTCTCTTTACCCTTCAGACCAACACACAGCAATGCAAGCGCTGCTATTTGGTGGCAGAAATAGGTAACAGAGTTTTACCCACCCAAACAAACTAGGCAGACCAGGCAGGAAAGTAGTGCATTTTATATTCACGCACACGCACGCACGACACACACACACACACTCACACACAGCGGGCGCGCGCGCGCGAATTAAGTTGACGACAACGACTTTATTTAAAAAAATAATTTATTTATACAAAATTACAGAGTTACAGCTTATAATTACTTCCAAAACTAATCCGTCTTACAGTTAACTTAGCCTAGTATTTATATTAAAATATCTCTTACTAAGCAACCCGTGCTATGACGCACGGCCTAATTCTTGTGAGTGCTTGTGAAGCAGATATTAGAGGGATCATCACACTTAACCTCTCCCTCCCCAAGAGAAAAATTATCTGAAGGAGAAGAAGTTGACTTCGGAGAATTTTGTCTCTGACTTAATTTATGAAATTTCTATTTAAATAATAACAATTATAATTAACAGTGCCACAACATAAAGACTTAAAGTCCATATACTTATTTTATTCGTCACTAGGGTTTCCACCACCATTTCACTATTACTATTTCTAACACTATTCATAATTTCTTTTACGTCACTGAAATCTACGTTTGTTAAGTCCAACTTCTTTACTTCTTTCGTCACGTCGTACTGCACCTCCGGAATCTTCACAAGTGGTATCTGTAGACTGGCTTCCGACATGTTGCTCGATAGGCCAATGGTTATTTTTCCCATTTGTATGCTGCAACCTATGCTCGGCGTCAAAATGTATGTCCCTTGTAGATTAAATCTGTGGGTATCATCTTTGCACTGCTCCGTCAGTATAACATCGTCTTCTGCATAGAGTATGCAGTGGTCAAAAGTTATTTTCTGTATTTTCAACTTCTCTATTTTTATTTGATGTTGATGGCAATTACTGAAGTTATTTTTAATCAGCATTATTTCTTCGATGCATGTTTCTTCATCAACTGGTGCTATATTTTCCTCCGAACATAAGTGTTTGTTTGGTTCTATATTGGGTACACGGGCTTACTACGTTTCTGTATTTCAAACCATTCACTAATAGGTAGGGGTATTTAGGAATTATGGTATAGGTGTTGGTCAATTTCTTTATAGGGATAGGAATAATCTTGTAATAGCTATACGTTTCTTTTTCTATTAATGGTATTTCTAAGATAAAAACTAATTTGTCTTTGTCTATATAACATTTTAGGATAATGTTACGTTCTAATTTTAAGTTATTTTTTGTTACTGGGTAAATGGTTTGTGCGTTTTGTTCTATTGTTTTAAAACATTTAGTAACTTCGTGTTTTCGAAATAGATATAATATTTATGTTTAAAATCGATATATTCTTTAAAAATATCTTTGACAAGTTTTTCATTACTTAAATGCATGTGAACTTTTAGTATACGTTGTCTTTTATCATGGTGTATTCTATCTTTAACAGATATTTTATCGCTGAACCATGTAGAAACTAAAATTTGACGTGGTTTAGTATCTATAGCTTCGTTCAGGATAGGAATCCCTTCGTGTTCCATGTTTGATACTGAGTTAGCTGTGTCACCATCGTCTGTAATTCCATCAGTTCCATCGGTGGCTCGGCTTCGGTATCAGAAACAACTATAGATTTCTCGCTTTCCGTGTCGGAAGTTGACATAACTGACGGTGTTTTAGGTATCTTTTCTATTATTGTTGAGTCTGTTATAAAAAAATTTCCTATTTGTTCATATTCTCTTTCAACCGAATGAGAACTAGAATCAAATTGATTTTGCGAGATATTAGGTTGAATGCTATTTTCGGTATCGGTATAATTTACGCGTCTTGAACTGACTGTCCTCATTGTGACGTCAGTATTAGAGTTCGACGGCACTTGTGACGCTCGGTGTTGCATATTGTTTCGCGAAAAATGCTGATGGTGTTGCGCCGATGACGGTCGCACTGGTGACCCAGTTTCAAAGTTCGCATTAAAGTTATTTCTGTTGTTCATTGTATGATTACTTACGAAGTGGGGAGAAATGTTATTTGAATTAAATGAATTATTTTTGTTATTCGATGAGTGGCCGTTCGTTTGATATTGAAATTTGGGCCTTTATATTTATTATTATGATTAAAATTGGGATGGTTTTGGAAATGGCTTGGTCTAAAATTTTGATTAGACCTTGGGTTCCTATTTTCGTAAACTGTTTGGAAGTTATGTTCCTCTAATACAATTTTTAATGCGTCTTCTAAGGTGGTAACATTACGTAGTCGTACTAGTCTCACTAAGTAAGCAGGTAAATTGTATAAAAAAACGTTTAATGCTGTGTTATCGTATATCGTTTATTTAGCTTGCCGTAAGTCTCGATAATTAATAGTTTCGTTAATTTTTGAAAATAAAATGCTTTTTAAATGTTGCACCCGGTGACAAAATTCTTGATAACTTTCGTTTCTATGTTTTCTAAGACTCTCTAGCTCCATAGCTAAGCATTCTTCAGACCTTGGGTTGCCAAAGTGTTGGTTTAACAGCGACTTGAGGTTTGCCCAAGAGTCTATCTGTTTCCTTTCTCCCACTAAACTAGCAGCTTCCCCTACAAGCGACTGGTAATGACGTGAAATAAATATTCATTTTGTAAGTTACCCCCTTGGAATGTTTGTAAAATATATTCGCATTTTTTTATGAATAAAGGTATTATACGGGAATTCTTTCAATGTTTTCCATTTTAAAATAAAATAAATATCAAAGTTTTTAAATACCAAGAATAAAATTGATTTAGCTAAGATCTACTAACAAAATTTTGATTGTTTAGTAGAAGAGTATTGTTATGGCGTTTTCTAATCCAAGACAATACCTACGTATAACTAATACAAGAGGAAACAACGGGAAAAGGGGTCTTACAGTTAACTTAGCCTAGTATTTATATTAAAATATCTCTTACTAAGCAACCCGTGCTATGACGCACGGCCTAATTCTTGTGAGTGCTTGTGAAGCAGATATTAGAGGGATCATCACACTTAACCCGCGCACGCACGCACCCATGCACGCACGCACTCACGCACACACACACACGCACGCGCGCGCACGCACACACACACACACACACACAAGAGATAAAAGTGCCATATAAATCAGTATAAGTATTGGCTGTGTAAGAGGCATTTCATTTTATTCCTCAGGGTTGACAAAGCATAATACGTAGCCTTATTTGTTTGAAGTTGTATATAAGACTAAGAGCCGTAGTAGTTCAGAGGCTAAGCACTTGCTTATTCGTAAAATTCACCATACGCAACCCGGGTTCGATCCCCGCCGGCACCAATGAAATTGTTAATTGCAATTTTAAATTACCACGTGCCCGACGGTGAAGGAAAACATTGTGAAGCAACCTTCATGTCTGAGAAATTTTTCATGTCACATGTCTTTCGAAAAGCAAAAACATTTCGTAGATATGTGAAGTTCGACAACACGCTTGGTGCAGCGCGGCGAATATTTCGTTGCCATAGACTTAGAAATGAGAGGAGGCCTGTGTCCAGCAGTGGGACGTGTCCATAGACTGTACAGTGGCCACTTACCATCGGGGGTACACTGTAAGTTCGTGAATCACTTCAGTTTTATAAAACAAAAAATAAAATATTTAAACTCTCACAGATAAACTTTATTTACCATCAAAACTAATATTCTACCCAAATTTCTGGACACTAGTAATGACATACGGAAAAGTTTCTCTCTACTTCATTTAGCTTAATCTTTACAGGATGCAATAGGCACAAATGCTGACTCACCACAAAACCCAGTTATAAAAGCATTGCCCAAATTAAGGGCTGCGCTACCAAACCTGGTCCTGGCCGCTGATGTATGCTTGTGCCCATATACTTCCCATGGCCATTGTGGTTTGCTGACGCCAAATGGTGCTATTGACCATGCTGAATCAGTTAAGAGGATAGCAGAGGTTGCCTTAGCCTATGCTAAAGCAGGTGAGATTTTTTGATGTTTTTATTTTTATCCTAATTACTTAATGAACCCATAAAAACCCAGTGTTCGATATGCGTATTACAACAGAACAACTTAAACGGGAGATGGGCAGTGGGTCCTTCCAGATTACACCTCAAAATAATATTTTATACATGGTAGACCCACGCTGCAACTATATTATGGTTGTAGCACGAAAGGATCGGCTCGACAGGGGAAGGACCACGCTCTCACAGAATACCGGCATAAAATAGCAGCTTGATGCTGCTGTGTTTCGTATGGTGAGTGTAGAGAACCGGAGAACCGTTTTACTCGAATTTAGGTATTCCATATTAGTCGTCAGGGGTGACAACGCATCTGCATTTTGATTCTTAATCGAGGTTAAATGTAGATGTCTATGAGCCAGAGCATTCACTTACCATCAGGTGGACTGTTTGATCGTTTGTCCCCTAATTATTTTTAAAAAAAACTGCGGTTGATGAATCGCCTGGCAAGTGTCGCAACTATGGCATGTCTCCTCTATGAGATAATCTATTGGAAGGCTTATGTTTATATATACAATACAATACAATAACTTTATTTCAGGCATCAAGGACTTAAAAATTAAGAACATTGGCCCATAGCAATATATACCTTAACCTAAAAATATATATAATATAACACTATTTAGGGAACTTTTTTCTTTGGCGCGTCCCTGAATCGGCGAAACACTACCCCAGAGGGCCAGAAATCGGGAGCAAGGAATGTCTCTTTGTATTTTGCAGGGACTTGGAGTACGTAGGATTTGAAGTTCGTTGACCTATTAGACTCCAGACGCTGCAAATGTAAAGAGATCGGATCCTCTATGCGGCATCGGCTTCGTTCTTCCACGAAACGCAGGACGTCTTCTCCCGACGTACTTTTGTCCGAACGGGAGATGTAGAGCTGTATGGTAGGCTCCACAATACGCAGAGTTGTGCTTGCGTTTATTTTGGCGGTCCCACGCTGGTTACAGACGGGTCTCGACCGATGTCTCTTCTCAACAAGAGTAAACCCGTCATTATCTCTCTTGTTTCGGGTCACCACAGGAACTGATCTTACATCTCCATTATTTTGTTTTCGACCACAAGAGGGTACCGGTTGTGAAGATTTTCGAGCAACATCCGCAAACGTCTTCCCTTGTTGACAGGTTGGTTTCGGCGGAGGAGTACTCAAGGGTTCAGTCAAGGGCTGAGGTGGTGATGCAATGACGACCGAGGTCGCCCTAGGTTCACGGTCATCAACCCGCTGACAGACGGTATCGCGTGACAGTCGCATCACGGTGAAATATGACTACTATTACTTACCGCGTGTCATATTTACATTCTGCGACGGCGGTGAATTCGCAGATGTTGCAATTATGTTGCGCAACATAGTTACTTCGTTTTTCAGCTCAGTTGCGGTTCGTTCCGATTCTTCAAATTTAAAACGGAGATCGGTGACTTCGGCTTTCAACGTGGTGATGACTTTCAACAATCTGGTCACGTCTACGTGATCGAACGTCATGGGAGGCAGCTTGTTGAGATCACGCGCGACGAAAGTTGGGATATCATCAGGGTCGGTCTCATTGAACAGCCTGAAGATGTCTTGCAGGTCTTTCTTACCGCGTCCATCTCTATGACGTGTTATAAGACGAGTATAGTGGTAGAGCATGCTGCAGTTATATTAGTAGTATAGTTGTAGGAATAAGAAATGAAATAGTAGTTTATGGTGTGGGAGAGGATTGGTACTATTATTTGATGGGTTGTGTATTGGAACATACAGGTACTTAGACGATTTGGGTCACGGCTGAATCTGATAACATCTTCTTCGCTTGGATGATCTCGTCCTCGGTGAAGCTGATCATCAGTATCTGCTCCAGGGACACTTGGTCCATGACGTCCAATTTTTGTTGAACAAAGGCCAGGAACTCGTTAACTACGACGGTATCGGATCGTTTAGGTTGACACGCCATTTCGAATTATTTTCGCGCAGTTGGTATGCTTACGCTACGAAAATATTGTAGGTTCGGCATTAGAGCCGCCACATTACTATGAAGCGACTGCACTGACCGGCAGTAGAAATGCGACTGATATAGTAATAGCAGCACTTTGAAATGATATGACAATAGGTCTGTGTCTCACAGTGGGGCTTAAGTTAATTTAGTTGTCAGGCAACAGATGGGAGACGGTTGGGCAACATTTCCATCTCATGGTCATTGCCGACTTGCGACAAACGGATCGAATCACGGGAGACGTACACAGTACTTGCAAGGGGTTCTTTCCAGTGAGCGCGTTGTTGACTGCCTGACAATATTTCTACCAATCGCCTACCCCCTCTCAAGGCATAACTCCACAAAGACGACACTAGCGTTCATATTTATCTGGTCCTATTGTTCAGTTCTCATAGGTTCTTTAAATTACACTCGCAGCTCACTTGCTGTAGAATTTATAGGAAATGTTACATTAAGTTGAATCTCACGGTTGCCCCAACAGTGCAATATTTACTTCATAATATGAGCATTGCTCCGCGAGGTAATATTAAAAAAATATATAGTTTTTTCGAAGTGAGGTGAAAGTACATTTTCGATAAAACATCGGCAAAATCTATTCACTAACCTTCGAGATTCTCATTTTTTAAACGCCTAAAACAATTTACAGAAATAAGAAAAAACAACTGTGGGACGTGTTTAGAAAAAATGGGTTTTTACATTGATATAATTTATCCACAGGTGCTCATATAGTGGCTCCTTCAGATATGATGGACAACAGAATTAAAGCCATTAAGGACGCTCTAGTCGAAAACAAACTTCAGAACCAGGTTTATATAAACAAATAAATATTTACTATAATATAGTATCATGATATGGTGTTACAAGTGTAATTTATGTAGAATTCGCGTAAATATCGAGATATAAGTAATTAATATGTGCTAATAAGGTTAATTTACTTAAATATATATATGCAAACTGGATGACCTTTTGAGGAGAAGCATATGGCACTAATATTTTACAAAAAATAGAAACAAAAATTTTAAATTAAACGTTTGAAAAATTTTTTGAACAATTTGCCCTTTGCCCTAGTGCCTGTTACCCTGCAAAGTGACAAGGTCTATGCCTACTAAATTTATTGTTTTATTGCCGTTCGTAAAGAAGGGTGGATTAGAATTTCGATAGATTTTAATTATTTGATTTATTTGTTTTTATTTTTTGTAAAATATCGGTGCCATAGGGTTTCACTTCGTTCACATTTACAACCCATTTTTTTTTCAGACTGTAAATAGGTTACCCAGTATATATTAACTAATTACTTATATCTTGATATTTACGCGAATTCTACATAATGTAATGAAACTAATTTTACTGTTTATTGCGTTTATTAATTATACCTCTTTAAATATTATAAATTAGATATAATTCAATATTATGTATATAACATTCGTAAAATTAGTTTTATTCAATAGGTATATCAACATATACCCATATTGATTATTGTTCACTTTAACTGGTATCCAAAACCTGCGACATTCCTTTAAAAAAATATTCGCTCTAACTGTCCCTGCTTTTATCGTATGTGTTCAAATTGGGCAAAATATTTATTATTAAATATTTATTATTTAATATTTAAACATATTATTTGGCGTGTCGAATTACAGGCTGCCGGATTGGACTGGGCAGGATTACCGCGGGTCGACTGTACATCTATTGAATTAGATCTAAAACATAAGGATTTCTTATGTGTACGCGAACTCTACACATTTCAATGATTATAAATTTTTAATAACGTTTATTGACTCTCCCGTGACCATGGGTACTGTAAGGTACTTGAAACATCTGGAATGTAAAATAAAATAATGCTTTCTTTTATTTGCGCAAATACTGCACATTGAATAATACTATATTTACGGATTTTATCGCGTTTAATTTACTTATTTTCAATTTCCCATTTTTCGCGTGCTTTGCAGCATGGCATCCATGGTCACGGGGGTCTGAGGGTGATTGACGGCCCGATGTTAAAGTTAATCCGAAGTTTTTAAAGAACCTTTAGCTTTTTAATTATTACTTTTGTTTCGATCTATCAGAATAAACATAAAAATCGTTTTATTTAATATAAAATAATTTATTAAAGCGATAAAATCCGTAAGAACTGGTTTCAATCAAAAGGATCTAACTTGTTCACAGGTTTCGGTGCTATCGTATTCGTGCAAGTTCGCATCGTCCATGTACGGCCCGTTCCGTGACACGATGAAAAGCTCCCCGATGGCCGGCGACCGCAAGTGCTACCAGCTGCCGCCCGGCAGCGCCGGACTAGCCATGAGGGCCGCTGTCAGTGCAAGCTAACAAACCTTAGTGGTTGACTGTACCAGACTTATAACTTAGTAGTTCGAATTCTGAATCTTTGTCCTGTCGAAGCTGTAGAAGCTTCTGCAGCTTCGACAGGACAAAGATTTAGATGTCATGTAGTAAATTCTTCTTTTGCTTTATCATCATGCCGTAAGGTCTACTGATTTGTTTTAGAGGTGGATAGATTGTAAGACTCCTGTTTTGCCTAGGTGTTCCATCTAGGTTTGCCAGATCGGAAAACCAAAATATCTGGACAAATTTTGAAAATGCCCGGTTTTTGATGTTGTCGTCTGGAGAAATGAATATTAAAAAGATAAAGCTTTTTTTTAGAGGAAGCCACAAAAGGTACCTAAAGAGAAGTATTACAAAAAAAAAACGCGAAATTACAAGGTTTTCTCATTGAAATTATGTGTTTTCCGTTCGTTGCATGAAATAATTACTTGGTAAAAATAGTTCTCTACTACAATAAACTCAAGGCAAATTTTAGATAACTTATTTATTTATTAATTAATAATCATTCTCCCGATGCATGTTTAGGCCAAAATTCTGAGAGACATGATTTGGGAGCTCTAATTTGTAGATTCTATTGAATATCGACCATCAAAAAAATATTTTTATTTCACAAATAACCTAAATATATTTAATAATGATAAAAAACATTTTCGTTATATGCATTTTAGGATAGGAAAAAAATTGACATAATTCAATTAACAACCGAAAGAGCTTCAATACAAGCCCCAATATCTCCTAAGTTCTACATCATTTTGACGTTGACGACAAATTTTACCAAAACAATTATCAACATTTCCTTATACTATACTATGATTTTATCTTTTTAAATCGTTATTATTATTTTTAATTGATTAAATAAAAGTACCATATATTTCACTACACTGGCCATGTGAATTCACTACCGTGCGAGCGGTTGTCACTTATGTTGTTTCGATATTATCGTGGTGTGCGCAAAGACGGGTAAAAAAGGATAGACAGGTTACACACTAACATTATTGTATTTTAAAGTGGCGCATGTAGTACTATATTTACTTACAGTTATTTATTATGACACGTTGCGCTAACAAAAAGACACAAATGATAACTATCGTTAGAAAAGGTGAATATATGAAGTTCGTTAGAAAAGATGATGATACCTATCGTTAGAAAAGATGAATATACGATATTAGTTAAGTATTGATTGCTGCAGAGCGTTCATTGTAGCGACTGAAAGCGTGCCCGACTGAATGCGAGTCGGGCAATTACCTGACTTTCGTATTGCCATTCTAGAGCGAGTACGACGTATCTTTAAGTTTAAAAACATCTTAGAGTGTGCGTCGATTGCTGTTACAGGCGCTGCTATTCTGGCCTGTGTTTCGAAATAGAACTCAACTAAGATCACAGTTTTTGATCGTTGGAAGTATTTATTTTCGTACAGTATATTTCAATTAGTATAAAATTCGCAAGTTATTATTATACCAGATAGTTAACTCATTATAGTTATTTTGATTGTAGCTGAGATTTCTTACCAGTCGGAATGGGGAAAAATAAATACAAGTATCAATGTGTCACTAAGCGTAAAAATAAATACCCTATCTCTGGAGAAATAATAATGCAGAATAAAAATGTATTGCCATATGGGCTGGCCCAGATTATGCAGTAAAAGTACTAAAAATCTTGGATTTTAAATATGTTACCCGAGCGAGCCGTGGTAGCTCAGTGGTTAACGCTCGCTGTAAATATAACAGAACGCGAGTAACCCGGGTTCGATCCCCGCCGGCACCAATGAAATTGTTAATTGCAATTTTAAGTGCTGATTTACCACGTGCTCGGCGGTGAAGGAAAACATCGTGAGGAAACCTGCATGTCTGAGGAATAAGAAAAAAAAATATTTCGAAGACATGTGAAGTTCGTCAACACGCATTTGGGCAGCGCGGCGGACACTTCCTTGCCCTAAACCCTCTCAGAAATGAGGGGAGGCCTGAGCCCCAGTAGTGGGACGTATATCGGCTGTAACTTTACTTTACTTTTACCCGAGCGAGTGAATAGATATGAATTAAAGTATCGCTCCCGTAGGTCGTCGCCCGCTCGGAGCGTAAAATACCTAAATTTGCGTAACGCTGAACTGTAAGAGGGCTCTGAAACAAAACCAATTTGAGTACACTTAATTTTTTGGTTACCATAAGTATTTAGCATTGGACTCTACTAGAAGCCACCAATTTGGATCCTATAGAGATCCTATTCAGAAAAGATTTAAAGTTCAAACAATTTACTTCTAACTTCAGTCTAATTAGTAAATTAGCTTTTGTTAGATCAAAGCCCATAGGTACGTTAACTTTTCGAGAAGCTGTTTATCTAGAGATTTTGAGTTTTGTCGGGAGTCTGGAGATCATTTGAAATGTCGGGAGAATCCAGACAAATCCCGAACATCTGGCAACCTTATGTACATCTGTGTAGCCACCACCCTTTTACGTATAGCAGTGCACTTGCGCCGCGGTTTTCTGTTCTTGGTATAGAGTTACTGGCTCTCTATTATAATTACAGGTGTGAGCTCCTGTTTTTGAAAGCGTCTAAATTATATCGGTCCGGAACAAACCGGACTCGGGCTCCTCCTAATTTAATGAGGATCCGTACCGATACAGAAAAACGTGCCGAGTACGCGAGGTCGCGAAATTCTACCTGTAATTAACCACAAAACCAAAGGCAAGGCCAGGCAACTTCGGATCCTATTGAAATCGATTAGTATCCCATAATCATTTATGTAATATAATCTTTTTATATAGTGCCGGGACGTCGCGGAAGGCGCGGACTTTTTGATGGTGAAGCCCGGTCTGCCGTATTTGGACATCGTCCGCCAGACCAAGGACAAGTTCCCGCAGCATCCACTCTTCATCTATCAGGTAATTTGAGTTTCAATTACGTTTTATACAAACCGCAAGCTAGGCACGTATCTAGCTTATTACACTCTTTTTGGGGTTCCGTACCCAAAGGGTTACCAATGGGACCCCATTACTAAGCCTCCGCTGTCTAAGCGGGCTGTATCTCATGATCCATAATAGGTAGACAATTGAAATTTTCACCCGAAACGTCGGGAATTAAAAACAAGTTAGTTAAACGCGATAAAATCCGCATAAATAGTTTTATTCAAAATGTAGTGTACGCGTTAATTTAAGATATCATTATTTTTAAAAACCGCTCAAACGATTTAAATAAAATTTAAGTGGATGGACCACCTTGGAAGTATACCCTTTGAAACAAAAAAGAATTTTCGAAATCGGTTCAGGCATATTAAATAAAGATCCCGACGAATTGAGAACCTCCTTCTTTTTTGAAGTCGGTTGTACTTGTCTTTGTAATAGAAGTAAATAACGCGCAAGATTTAAAATTTGTTTCTTTAATTTTGTATACCTACATAGTGTTTTACTTGCCTTGTTGGATTTTATTATGTAGTCAACGGATATAGGTTTGTTCGTTTAACCAATAAGTTTATTGAGGTTACATAAGTATAGTGATAACAATGAAATAAAACTTTATTGAACTGCCGTTTTACTTTTAAAAGTGAGATAATGTCACACACAACGCGTCAGGATGTTTATGGGCTGTTTTGTAGACTACCTCGTTGGTGTAGTCTTGGTAAGCGCGACTGCTAAACCTATGTTCCCGGGCTGGGTCAAGATTAGGGGGCGTTCAAGTATTACGTAACGCAATTTTTGAAGATTTTGACCCCCTGTAATTCGCCGTCACGTTTTTCGGTACATACAAAATGAAAATTTACAATACAATACAATCAATGGATTCCCCGTAAAACACAAACGGAAAGGTTTACCAACTTAGATTTTAATTTCCTAGTTTTTTATTTAAATAAAAAAACATTGTTACGTAACGCGATTTTCGACCCTTCTCCCGCCCTTGAAACTAACTCATCGTAATGTTATACAAGACCCTCGCCCCCCTCTCCCAAATAGTGTGAAGTAATACTTTTACGTTTACTTTTTTGAATTCCCCTTTAGCTATGCCAATAAAAATTATCCGGCGTCAGAAAGTTAACAATGTGTTAAACTCGTGTCTCGGAAAGCACCTAAAGCCGTCGTTGTTGTCCTCTGCAGGGCATAATGCCGTGCAGGTCTCGGGCCCCGGGGTTACCCCTTTACCCGGATTTTCCTCACGGCACACTACAGTGTGCCGGTCCTGGGCGCCTTGATGGTGAAGGCGTTGTTTTAGCGACTTTTGTCGCAGTCGGTTAAATTATAATTAAAGATGGTTATCCAAATAATTGTGTTTAACACAATTTATTATGTCAGAGTTGGCCTTTCTGCGGCATTGTGGAATTTACTCGACTCCCTAATCTATATAGGGAGGAGTTCTCTTGGATAGGGTCGCCCGTCCGGCGGCCGTGAGTGCAACGGCGCGAAGCCGTTGAGGTGTTCGTGTGGCCCGTTGTCGGCGCGGTCGAACGTACCGCGCGCCAGCCGGACCACGAATTCTTGCAGGCTCTCTATCTTTAGGTTGGCCGCTATGACGTCATTTCGGACGTAGCGACCCGCACCAATGCGCGCGTAATGACAAACTCTGCTGGGCCTGAAGTCGCCGCTTCTGATGATCGCTCAGGAGTGCATACCAGGCCGGAGCAGCGTATGTTAGCAGGGGGTCTTATGTAGGTTTTATAAATGGTTAACTTCGACTTTGTCGGTAACTTGGATGTCAGGACAGGGCGGAGCATTGCCCGCGCACTTCGAGCTTTGCGTATAACAGAGTCGACGTGCGCAGTCATACGCAACATCCTGTCAATCCGACATCCAAGGTAGGTCACGGCCTTCTCATATGCGATCTCCTGGCCTCCGAGGGTTAGCGGTGGTGGTAGATTTCTATAGCGGCGAGTGAGTAGAGCGGTTGTCTTGCTAACATTGACGGCCATCCTCCACTCATCCAACAATGGTGGCAGCAGGTCCAGCAGACGTTGCATCCTGGCAGCTGCGATGTGGGCTCTTCTGGACGACGTGAAGTATGCGCTGTCATCCGCAAAAAGCGCTAGTTCGACGTCGTCCTCCCAACCTAAAGCCGTTGGTCTTACGTCAGCTACGGTCGTTCATCGTCGTTCATTATCGTATCGTCGGATCATGAGAGTAACGGAATGGAAAGTGTATTTGTGATTGCGCAGATGGCTATTCTCCGTTGAGACTAAATCGCCGTTAACGAAATTCGATCTAAGGCTATTTTTACCATTAGGTATACAAAAAGTTTATTTGTTTTTTGTGTATTTATTCGATACCTATTTACTCGACGTCTTACTTTGGCCGAGGAGCGACTGCTAATGTTTTTTTCTATTTCTTAACTTTTATTTGAGGGATTATCATCATTTCAAAAAATTACATAATTCGTTTCGGCCACAGATAAAACTATAACTTATAACTATAACTTATATGTGATATCTCTGATATGTCAAAAGTGTAAACTAGTGATTAGTCACGAAGAATCTTTTGAAATATTGTAAAAGGCTTCATTTGTATGTTTGTAGATGGTAGTTATCTACTTAAAAGATAATACGTGCATTATTAACTTTATTTACGCAATTTGTCGACTCAAAGCGACGCGGGCTCGCATCCCGCACATAACAAGTGTTTGTGTGTGCAATTCATATAATTTTTTGGGGATTGCATGTGTGTCTTGTTGCAATTTATGTAAATAGAATGCCTCCGCAGTAAGGGATAATATTCTGGTGTGGTACACTAGAACTTTCTCATGTTTCTGATTAACCAAAACATTTAAAATGTACGTAAAATACTGTATTATATCTATTGTTTCTTTTGAGGCCCCCTCTGTCTTCAGGTTCGTAAAGCTAATCAGTATTTTTACTATCTTCTAATGAAATATAAATAAAACCCCCTTTTAACCTCTCAACCCCCTAGCGGTCTCATGAGACCGCGGCCATATTCCGTCGAATCCCTAGCGATCTCATGAGGTCGCGCCCACTCGCACCACTTTAACCCATAAAAACTTATATACAGAGACTACTTTTCTATAAAGAAGTTTAGCATTATATAATCATTATGAAATACTCTATCCTCTAGTGCAATAAAAAACTGTTATCCTATGAATATTTATTTATAATCTACGTATGATTTCTTATTACGCGAACACTATACTGATTAAACTTTTTCGTAAAGTAGTTTTTGTTGTCATTACGTACGCCATTTTCGCGTGAATGTTATTGTGTTGATTTTTGGATTTTTCTCGTGTTTTATTAGTATTTTAATATAGTGTTTTATTAAAAAATTGTAATGAAAGCTTTTGTGTTAATATAATTTATCTATTACGTAAATAATTTCGAGTAATATATATATTGAAATAATTGTGATTTTCACGCTGCCGACATTCGCTTGGTATGTTTTTTGTATTTGTTATCAAAATACAATAAAATGTTTTTGTAATGAAATAAAACCTGACTTTTGTTTAGACCACAGGATAGAGAATTTTGCATAGATTTTTTTGCTAAACTTCTTCATAGAAAAGTAGTCTAAATATAAGTTTTAATAGTTTTAAGTGCTTTGGGTGGGTGCGGTCGCATGCGTACTCGGGATTTGCCGGGATTTTTATGGCGCTTGAAGGGTTAAAATAGAAATGATTCTACATATACAGTTTGCCACGCTTGACAGGTGGATTGGCAACAGCAGTTATTATTTAGAGTTGTTATCAGGAAGATGCTGCTGCCTATCTCCTGTTTCAGTTTCCCTCTGTCGCCTCTTACGACGCTCACGGGATTACATAGGGTGGTGAATTTTCTTACCACGGCAATACATGTTGGCCAAGCCTAAGCCAACGCGAGCGTAGGCGAATTGATACAAGACGAGTGCTACAGTTTACACGTTGGTCAAGTTCGAAACAGACCAATGTCAAAGCCTATGTTCACAAGTTTTTGTGGAACTATCCACATGTTGGCCGTAAGTTGTCACGGTACGGTATGGACGACGTAGAAGTTATTGCTGCTTCTGCTATTTATTTAATGAGTCCATTTAATTATTATGTCAGTGTACTCCGGAATAAAGTTATAAAAAAAAGAGATAATAGAAAAGATAGTAGTGGATATTGAGTGTTATAATTAAAACAATATTCTGCAGTCTTTTTTTTTTCTTTTTTTTTTCTTTTTTTTTTTTTTTTTTTTTTGTTGTTTGTTTTGATCGTGGTCTTTTTTTCTTACTTTACTGAGACAGACGCCAAGCTGTAACTGACATGGACGTAGCTTTTTACAACCAGGTCGTACCGAATAAAAAATTATTTATTTATTGACCTCGCTTGAACTTTTTAGGTTTCCGGTGAATATACGATGATATGCCGCTGCGGTGACGCCAAGGAGGTGGAGACAACTCTTATGGAAACTCTCACCTGCATGAGACGAGCCGGTTAATATCTATGCACTTTAAGGCTACGATTTTCTAAATTAATGTAGTTTTATATTGTTTAATTGGTTAAATCACTAAACACATACCCTCACAATAGAGTACCTCATTGGGAGAGGGGAGGGGGGTATTTGCCAAAGCTAGCATGCAAAGCAACCGGCTTTGGCGGCAGGACTGCTTCTCGTCTGAAGATCCATCGAGCTGCGCGGATACCCTTTGCTGACTGAATGGGCACCCATTGGTAGTAAAGCTCGCCCATGGTTCAACGCCGAGTGCGCTCGTGCTGAAAAGCACAAGCATATGGTGTACTTATTCTGGGTCCATGCTCGAGACCGCAAAGCTCGGGGTGTTAGCCTGAAGAAGAGAGCCTTTAACCAAGCCGAGTCGCCAAAAAGCGTTACGGCAAGCCAGTTTCGACCGCATTAAACGCATCGATACAAAGCTCTCTGTCAAACCATCTGGCAGTAGAGCCTTTCGGTCTCTCGCCAGACGGTCGAGACAAACTTCTGTCGGTCTACACTGGTAAAACCAGATGGCTTATTGGCGCATGCTCCCTAAAGAGTAAGCGGATTTATTTGCTTCTCTTTTTGCTTGCAATTCGCGTCTGGACAGTAGCAACAGCGTACTACCCTAATTACCTGACTGCGGTACCTCTATGTCAGAGGTCCGTATCACCAACAAGGAGGTTCTTAAAACCTTGCGAAGTCTATACGTGAACAAAGCTAGTGGACCTGATGGTATACCGGCTATAGTTCTAAAGGTCTGTGCCCCTGAGTTGTCTCCTGTGTTGACGCGCTTGCTCGGCCTCTCATTCCGGACTGAAATAGTGTCTAAATCTTGAAAGCTGGCCAATGTGCAGCCTGTGCTTAAAAAAGTTATATTTTGAAATACTAAAAAGATTAAGTCTAGTTTAACTTGAAATGGGAAAATAGTACATGCTTTGAAATACAACTAGTATGAAGTTTACAACTATATGATTTAATTTATTGATGGTGGTATTGGTAAATCTAAGGCTGTTTCTCATAAAAGTCGATATCAGTGGTTGTGGGTCTTGACGTCCGACACGAAAGATGCCACTTCTCTCTGTCCTGTAGAAGTTCTCGCTAATTGTCTTAAGCTTGAAGCTCGCGCAGGTCGACTTCCATCTGGTTGCCCCAGCGATATTTCGTATAGTCGATGCCAATTTAAGAAATGTTTAAATTTAATCGAATTCAATAAGGATAACAAACAAGCACACAACCACATCACATATCACATCTAAATTTATCCTCGATTAAGAATCAAAATGCAGATGTGTTGTCACCTCTGAGAACTAAATGGAATGTCTCGTTTTACCAGTAAAATGGGTCTCCGATTCTCTACACGTACAACTTAACACAGCAGCATCATGTATGACGACATGATTTAAAAATATAATGATGCAATCATTTTAAATCTTAAGATTGTTTTTGGTTGTTTTAGTGTTAATTTGCTACATCAATTAATTAACATGAGTTAATTTGTTTCAGGAGCGGATTGTATAATAACATATTTCGCGCCATTAATTTTAAGCATAATATCAAATAAACAATGAATAAAAATATACTATGTAGAATTTCAAATTTATAGTGGTGGTGTTATAATTATTGCAATGAATTAGTTAATTTACTATTTAGAATTTTTTGATGACTTATTTTTATTTGCTCAAGGTTGTAGACATTTTTATAAGTACAGAAACTGTTGTTTAATTTTAAGATACTTCTAATAAAAAATTCATCAATAATATGTAATTGTTTTATTTGTTATATTATTAAAATTCGTTACATTTTTTTGTGTGTATATTATATATACTATATTATATATACTATATAATATACTTTTCCCTTTCTTAACAGCTCATGAATAGTACATTGGCCAAGACACGACTTTCGGCGTGCCTTCACTCTATATAGTTGGGGGCCGCCCTACACTGCTTAGTGATACGAGGCTACCACTAGAGAACTTTTCTTTCCCGTCGGTTGTCTGTTCTTTGAGTTACCTGACCGGCCCATTGCCACTTAAAATTTTCCCAGCGGAACATCTTACTTATTCCGTTGGGCTACGTTGTAAGGAAAGTATCTCACAAGGTAACCTAACCTACCCTAGGAATATACCTCAATGAGAGACCTTAAACTCCCTTAGTCGACCAGCTGTGAAGAAACACGTCTTGGTTCCGTCGGTCATTACTGAATATATAAATTAAAAAGTTTTTTTTTCATTCTATTCCTGATACTACTATTCTATGACTGATTGTCAAAAGTCCATCGCTGAACATAGGCCTATCCCTCGTTCGTTGACAAAGTCAAGTATAAGTAGGTGGCGTAAGACAATTCATTCACAGCCCCATATCATCCCGTGGGTGTTTTAAGAGGCGAGAGAGGGAAATCAACGGAAGATTGGCAGACACATTTTCCTGAAAATAATTCAGCAACATTTCTGCAGTCGCCAAGCCGTCTGCCAATCGTGATAACTAGTGTATTCGAAATTCTAGCTAAAAGTTGGTAAATGTTGTCTCAACACAGACAGCTCGCAATATCAACGCTGCGTTTGCAGAGGATACGGAACGCATTCTTCATTTTTGTTTCAATTGCTTTCGCAGTGGAAACTTCGATTTGAACAATGAACCACGAGGAGGATCAAATACTAAGATAAATATGTAACGATAAATTTAAACTAATGGTGTAACCACAGAATTTGCGTTATGGTTGACGTTAGTTTATCCAAATATTGCCTCATTTGCACAAAATTGTTGCTTGTTTTATATAAAATAGGGTTGGCAAACGAGTACACAGTCCACCTGGGGGTATGTGGATGATGTAGCTTATAGACATGTACATTTATCCTCAATTAAGAATAAAAACGCAGATGTGCAATATCACCCCTCACCCCTGATGACTGAGATGAAATGCCTCGTTTCCAGTAAAAAGTGAAACCTGAGAAATGGGGGATGATTCATAGTCATAATTAACTTATATGTGCGAAGGAGAATACCCGTTAAGCATGCCTTGCTTGAAGAGTAAGTACAGAAATGAAAGGATTTTGGACAGAATTGTGTAACAGAAAGTGAATTGCCTGCGATAATCGCAATTGAAAAACATGCGCTGAACGTCGATAAAAATACCGGAACAATATCATAGAGCAGCAGTTCTGTGAACCTTTTAGTAAAGTGGGACGTTTTTTGTTTAGCCACGGACAGACCATCAACTTTTGGACAAACTATAAATCAATGTTTTTATGTTTGTTTCCATCATAGAACGTGTGATGTTATTGTGGGCCTCTTATTTTAGTGTAGCAACACCGTATATTGAAAAATGCTGCGTCGGTGCGCACCGACCACCATATTCAAAAATATTGCTCATATTTTATAAGTGAGATAATTGTTTAATGCTTTCGCTGGATTTTATTATTACACCTAGGCAGTAAAACCTCTTTTCTGCCAAGAGTCCGTCTAGATTGGTCCATCATCTTACCTATTTCTGTCGCCAAACAGAAGTGCGTGCACTGCTGACAGCTACTGCTGCACAGAGCACTATTACTCCTAACGGTGTGCTGCTGTGTTCTAGTATGAAAGGGAGCCAGTATAATTAGTCAGAGGTGACAAAGTATATAATCACTTACATTTATAGGCGGCTAAACGGTTAAGTTCCCTATATAAAAAAGTACTGTGCGCGGGAATTAAAAAATCTCGGATAATTATATTTAGACAAAAATAAAGAATTGACAATTTACTATGTAACATAATATTATAGTGAAAATTAAAAGTATAAACAATAATATACTATCATAAAATATTATGGATACTATTTCACAACATTTAAAATTTTCGCCATAAAAATTGTTAACCTATTAGGCGCTACAAGGATATTTCCGCTTGCCAGTTATTAACGTGGGCCAATAATATTACGACAAATATGTATACTTGGACCAATCATATGCTACTGTTAAAAACGTCATCTTTTTTTGAGCCAATAGCGTTCGCCCACGATGTACACTAGCGCTAAATAACTGCGACGGCGGCGCGTTTAACTTCAGTTTTTTGAAAGCCATCATAAGAGAAGCATTGTTATAGTAAAATTGATTTGCGCCTAATAATTTTGTGAGTTTAACGTGGCTGTGCGAAGTTTTCTTTAAATTTTAATTTATAATCAATCTTAGGATATTTTGGTGAGTGTAAATTGATAATTAATTTGTATTATATATTAACTATAATAATTTTGATTACACATAGATCTATTCCATTATTTTATCAAATCTATTTTTAATTTAATAATGTGTTAATATTTTAATTAATTCTTTCAAATCCCATTCTTTATATTGTATGTCAATAAGGTGAAGGATCTTGATCGAAATATATCAAAGAAATTTCTGGATGCTTTTGGGCTGGCCCGACCGAGCGGCCTACATAGTGAATTCAACATGTACCGTTATCTTTCCGTTATAACCGAATTTCATTATACTAGTACAACTTTCAATTTCTATTGTTTAAATCATTAATCAAGATACGTGTCTGATGTCAGTTAAAACTTAGCATTTTGCCGGTACTGGCCGGTACTAATAAAGTATGACGTGTCCCCATTTAGGTTACGTGTCCTTGACGTGAGAGATTCGTTGAACTTATAGTGATCTTACAATTTTTCTTATTGCGTTCTCATTGTTTTAGGTGAAATAAGTGTATTGTATGGTGAAAATGCGGTGGAGTTTGTTAGCGTTTGCGTGCGTGGTCGCGGTGGTCTGCGCTGACGACAAAAAGGAGAAAGATAAAGATATTGGTACCGTGATTGGTATTGACTTGGGTACCACGTATTCTTGGTAAGTCCAATATCACTAATCTTGTCTATACATAAGGGAGTTTACGATTAAAACTATTAAAAAAAAATCAATTTTACATTGTATTGCATACTGCTGCTTCAGTTGTGCTTGTCCTTTTTAAAGGTATTTTTAATACAAGAAGCAGTTTTAACTTTACGAAATTTAAAAATATATAATATGTTCTTAAAACATATAAAAATTATTAAACTTATATCAAATAATACTGATCAACAAGATGGCTAACTATTCTGGACTCTATATGGCTGGCGAGTCATAAAAAAGCAAATATAATCAGGCACAATTTGTTACATTAAAACTACATTGTAATTAAGAAAGTAATACGTACACTGCTCATTGTTTAATTTAAAATAACCAGTTGTAAAGATTTTGCAACTAAAATACCAAGTTATTAAAAAAGCTCATTTCTAGCCTTTTGGTTATTTAGGTATATTATGTTAACATGTTCTGTCTATTTGAAGTAGTCCTAAAAGATAAGAGTTTGAACCATAGTTGTAAGTCTTTCATAATTTAGAATTAAAGCATCTTCTCTGTTATTGTATTTTTAGCCTTACATTTTCTTTTTCTTGTCTACAGTGTGGGAGTCTACAAAAATGGCAGAGTAGAAATTATCGCCAATGACCAGGGTAATCGTATTACTCCATCTTATGTAGCATTCACAAGTGACGGCGAGCGTCTCATTGGTGATGCAGCCAAGAATCAGCTGACCACCAACCCTGAAAATACAGTGTTTGATGCCAAACGTCTTATTGGTCGTGAATGGACGGACTCCACTGTACAACATGACATTAAATTCTTCCCCTTCAAGGTGGTTGAAAAGAACAGTAAACCTCATGTAGCTGTCAAAACAGCACAAGGGGAAAAAATCTTTGCTCCTGAAGAAATCTCCGCTATGGTGCTCACAAAGATGAAGGAAACTGCTGAAGCTTATCTCGGAAAGAAGGTTACTCATGCTGTTGTTACAGTACCTGCTTACTTTAACGATGCTCAACGTCAAGCCACTAAAGATGCTGGTGTCATTGCTGGACTTAACGTTATGAGAATCATCAATGAGCCTACTGCTGCAGCTATTGCCTATGGTCTTGACAAGAAGGAAGGAGAGAAGAATGTGCTCGTATTTGATTTGGGTGGTGGTACTTTTGATGTATCTCTGCTTACCATTGACAATGGTGTCTTTGAAGTGGTTGCTACAAATGGTGACACTCATCTTGGTGGTGAAGACTTCGATCAAAGGGTAATGGAGCACTTTATCAAACTTTACAAGAAGAAGAAGGGCAAGGACATCAGAAAAGACAACCGTGCTGTGCAAAAACTGCGTCGTGAAGTTGAGAAGGCTAAGAGAGCTCTGTCATCCAGTCACCAAGTCAAGATTGAAATTGAATCTTTCTTTGAAGGTGATGACTTCTCAGAAACTCTTACCAGAGCTAAGTTCGAGGAGTTGAACATGGACCTGTTCAGATCCACACTAAAACCTGTACAGAAGGTGTTGGAAGATGCTGACATGAACAAAAAAGATGTTGATGAAATTGTGCTGGTTGGTGGCTCTACCCGTATCCCTAAAGTGCAACAGCTGGTCAAAGAATTCTTCAATGGAAAGGAACCATCTCGAGGCATCAATCCTGATGAGGCTGTTGCCTATGGTGCTGCTGTCCAGGCTGGTGTACTTAGTGGAGAACAAGACACTGATGCAATTGTGCTTCTCGACGTCAATCCTCTGACAATGGGTATTGAAACAGTTGGTGGAGTCATGACCAAGCTGATCCCGCGTAACACCGTCATTCCCACAAAGAAGTCTCAAATCTTCTCCACTGCTAGTGACAACCAACACACTGTCACTATTCAGGTATACGAAGGAGAGCGTCCCATGACCAAGGACAACCATTTACTTGGTAAATTCGATCTAACTGGCATCCCACCTGCACCACGAGGCATTCCCCAAATCGAGGTCACCTTTGAAATTGATGCTAACGGTATACTTCAAGTGTCTGCTGAAGACAAGGGTACTGGAAACCGGGAAAAGATTGTCATCACCAACGACCAGAATAGACTGACACCAGAAGATATTGAAAGGATGATCAAAGACGCTGAGAAGTTTGCTGATGATGACAAAAAGCTAAAGGAGCGTGTTGAATCGAGAAATGAACTGGAAAGCTACGCATACTCAATTAAAAACCAGCTGCAGGATAAGGAAAAACTTGGTGCTAAGGTTGGTGTTTTTTTAATTTATTTTTATTTCTTGAATAAAGTAAAATGTTTAGAAAAAAATAAAAAAAAATACTATGGGTAAATTTATTATTATTGTTATTATACATTAGCAGGCAGGCAGTTGAGACAACTGACAATGCCTGTATCCTGTTTATGCCCACTAGTTATTCCTATTGCAGTTTAGAAAATGGTTATCTAATCTATTTTTGAATTGGTTCACATTTTGGGCTGAGACTACACGTGGTGTTATATGTGATAGAGCCTGGCTGCAGTTATATTAGTAGTATAGTTGTAGCACGAATGGGTCGGCTTGACCGGGAAGGACCACGCTCTCACAGAATACCAGCGTCAAATAGTAGCTTAATGCTGCTGTGTTTCATATGGTGAGTGTAGAGAACTGGAGACCCTTTTTACTGGAAAAGAGGTATTCCATCTTAGTCCTCACGGGTGACAACGCATCTGCATTTTGATTTGTAATCGAGGATAGATGTAGATGTCTATGGGCCACAGCAACCACTTACCATCAGGTGGAGTGTGTGCTTGTTTGTTGCCTATCCTATTTAAAAAAAAATTCTCTGGCAGCTTATTCCAATCTGTTTTTAGGCTTATAAAAAAATTAAAGTAACACACATGTACCACTGCTGGGCACTTATAAAAATATTATAGGCAAATTTAGGCTATTAAAAAATTTATAGTAACCTATATATAACCTCCTGATGGACAGCACGCCTTATCTCAAGGTGTTTAGATTGGACAGTGTCTGGTGGTCTGATGCATTTTCAATTTTTGACTCCAAAACACAGATAAAGATATACAGACCATATGTGAAATGTATGGATTTCTCATAAATATAATGTAAAATAAATTATACATGTTTATTATAAATATGTAATATGTATTTAAAATTGTAATTTAACAGTTTCATTGGTACAAGAGTAGCCAAACTCTGTTTGCATGCCTATCTAAATATCATACAATTTCTTTTTAACATTTTAAAAGTTCATATCTAGAAATAGATACTAATTAAACTTTATTTTAATTGTTACAGCTCAGTGATGACGAAAAAGCAAAGATGGAGGAAGCTATTGATGCCGCTATCAAATGGCTTGAAGATAACCAGGACACAGATGCAGAAGAATACAAGAAACAAAAGAAATCTCTAGAAGATGTAGTCCAGCCAATCATTGCTAAACTGTACCAGGGTCAAGGCGGTGTACCGCCACCGGGCGCTGGAGGAGATGATGATGACTTCAAAGATGAGTTGTAACTTAACAGACTGTAAAATGTGATGCTAGCCAAATGTGATCCCCACTCACTACAGAATATTCACAGGGTGTTGTCATATTATCCCTTCCAAAAATAACTTATTAATGTTATACTAGCTACAAATGTTAACCTGGCATTGCTAACAATTGCTCATCATCTAGATTTTTCTTACCAAGACTGGCAACACCGATGTGCATAATCTGTAACAATGCATGGATACAAAGTGTAGCTGGTGTTGTGTATATTTATTGGTGTGGAGTGTTTGTGTGTGTTTGCGTGTGTGCGGTGGTAAAAACGTCTTCAAATCTCACTAGCAACGCTGGTTCGGGCTCGCCATCGCGCACTTGTGTGCAAGGAAATACAAATGTGTTATGGCTGTAAAAATGATGCATTTTTATTTTTAGTATAATGGCAATAGTAAAAGAAATTTTCAAGGGTCTTCCTCATTTGTGCGTTTCCACGACCCTGCAGAGTATGTCTCAGTTCCATCGTTGAGACTACCTCTGTGTTGTATAATGTATGTAATTGTTTTTGAGACTGCTGAATAAATTGTTAGCTTGTAATTAATTAATTATGTAGTAAATAAAATAATTTCAATTGAAGTACGAAGGAGTACATAAATAAAACATTTTTCTATTAAGATATGTTTATTTCATTTCCATACCCATTTAGTCACCCTAGTTTAGTCTAATCGACGCGGACGTTACTCAGCCGTGCACCGAATTCAATGTTGAAAGCTGGTGCGGCCATGACGGCTGCTTGAATTTCAGTTTGAACTTGATCTGTAATCAATAAAATAAATTTTCTTGCTTAGAGGCTACTGTTCCGTTCACCCCATTACACGACATAAACTATTCAAAAATTTATCCTAGTAGAAACAAACTATATTGATAGTCATTTTCTAATGGGATAAAGTTGAACATAGATTTTACTGAGTATACTATGAAATTAAAATATAACCTAAGTACTATAATAATATACATAAATAAAATATATGTCAGAGTCGGAGTTAGTTCCTACTTGTCGGGAGTCGGGCGCCATATTTGTAATCGGGTTTCGACGCCTCTGTTCACACTAGTAGTTTGTCGGACTCGATTGAAGCTATAGCTATTTTTTGGCAGCTTTCCTTGCTGCGTGCGTCCCATGATATAGAGGGTTGTCGGGCCGCGTATTTTACGTTTCCGTGTTCCGTTTGAGGTGCTCGTCCGCGCACGGGTTTGCAACGTAAACTCTTCTTTCAAATACGTGTTCAAGGCGAAAGGCGATGCATGCGCGTAAACTTCACCACTCGCGTCTCGCCACTTCGCCATTGGTATTCGATTTTTTTCCGCTGTGCGGCGTTTGAGATTAGTGTGGTTTCAAAAAATTGTGGAACTATTCAAAGATAAATGAGACGACTACGTCTTTAAAAATTCTTATCGAATCCTCAATAAAAAATTTAGACTTAATACTGTAGCGATGTAAAGTTTTCAATATGTGCAATACCTTTGAATCTTTGAACCACAAGAAAATAATGATTCAGTTTGCCAATAGAAGAGCAAAAAATCTTACATTAGCATATGAAAAATTTGTCGGTGTCGGATAAGTGTGAACAGCTTCATATAAAATGTTTTGCTATTAGAGAAGCCGATTTTCTGTCAGCCCCGACTCCCGACATGTGGGAACTGTCTCTCAATCATCACGAACAGATAGGCAGCAAGGCCAGGAATTATCTAGGCTGTATTTTATACTCAAACGTGTAGGATTTTTTGTAAAATCTAAAAACAATGTCCTACACTTTATCACATTTTTACACTTTATCTACATCGATTTTTAACATTTTATACTTGAACACCATTTAAGAACAAAACGATGAGTGTTATGAGATAACGTGATACAGACTTTTTTTTTTGCGTGAAATGAATTAATTTTTAATTAAAACTTCCCATATCGCATATAGATTTAAGATAAACTCGCTTACATATGCGATTGATTTCTGTGACGATTTGTGAGGCGATAATTTAGACTAGATTTCGATAATTTTTAGACAGTAGCTAAGGGTTAGTTATACCACACAGAAAAAATATTTATATGGAAGCCAGCCAGTACAGCCTATAAGGCCATTTCTGAACATAGACCTCCCCATAGATTGCCTCATAAGGGGAATATTGCCATAGTTGTCACGCTTGGCAGACTGGTTGGCAACCGCAGTTTTTTATTATTTATTTATTCTTTTTTGTACACCACAATACAGAAACATCAAGTTCAGTTAAAACTAAATTAAAGTATGTACAATAGGCGGTCTTATCACTCTGAAAGTGATTTCTTCCAGACAACCTTTGCGTAGAGGAATGATGCAAACAAAAGTTAAAATAGAGGGGGGCATACAAAATAATAATAATAAAAAAAATATGATAATACATACAAATAAAGATAAGTGAAAGTTATATATAAATTATCATATAATAGATAAAATGAAAATAATACGAGAAAGGTAAAGTAATTTATCTAATAGCGTTATAAATAATACGATTTAACAAGACTTGAAAGAGTGAAGAGATAATGTTTCAGTTTCCCAGTAGCATCTTATGACGCCTACGGGACGACATAAATAATTTTTACATATTATATTATGATGAAGCTGCTACTAGAGAACATTCGCCAATTCAAATTACTAATCCATTGTGCTATGTCGCTTACTCTGGTTCTGCAGATATTCTCATTACGAAGTTAATCACGCAGGGAAACGCCGAGCATAGCATTTTCCATAGCTCGCTTAAGCTTTCCAAATATGGTCAGCAGTAAAGAACTACGTCTCAGATCTTCAGAGCTTTGCACCGGGCCACACACTCTAATTGTAGAGTGGCCCCCAACTTGACGGATTGATGACCTGGTAAGAGATGCAGGAATTCGAGGGTCGTACTTTGTGGCGTTTCTTGGCTTGAGGGCTATATTCAGCAGTGGTACGTCCAATGCTGAATGATGATGATATTGTTATTATGAATTTTCTATTACGTCATATACGAATAGTTGTTAAACTATATGTTTTTTTTTATAGAATAAGGGTGACAAACGAGCACACAGTCCACCTGATGGTAAGTGGATGCTGCGGCCCATAGACATCTACATTTATCCTCGATTAAGAATCAAAACGCAGATGTGTTGTCACCCCTGAGGACTATGGTGGAATGCCTCGTTTCCAGTAAAAAGGGCCTCCGGTTCTCTACATTCACTAACGAAACACAGCAGTATTAAGCTCCTATTTTACGCTGGTATTCTGTGAGAGCGTGGTGCTTCCCCCGGTCGAGCCGACGCATTCGTACTACAACCATAATATAATAGCTGCAGCGCGGCTGTACCACGTACAATAAGGCATAGAGTATGTATGAGACATGCTGCAACATGTTATGACTACTGCAGTCCGACTGGAGAAGTAGGTACTACATTCGCTAGAAAAAACTAGGTTAATGCTACTGTGCTCCGTATGTCAACAGACATTCCATTTTAGTCTTCAAGAGTGACCACGCATCTGCTTTTTGATTCTTAAGCGAGGATAGATTAAAGTTACTATGGGCCACAGCATTCACTTACCATCAGGTAGACTGTGTGCTAGTTTTTTTCCCTTGTTCTGTAAATAAAAATCTTCCCCTCTGTGAAAATGGGTGTCATGATCATGGGCCAAATAATACTTACCTATACTAAAGTATTTATCTTTGTTATCAAGTTCCAAACATAATTCTTAATTTTCAAGCTACATAAGCTGTTATCTGTAGGTCTCGTTTACCTACTATTCATTTTTCATTTAGGTAGGCATTATAACCCGTCAATGTCACTCCTGGGGAGGACTGTAAAAAAGGCCAAATAAGTCTTCTTAGGTACCGTTTCATACCTAGCTATTATAGTTGTACCTATTTATTTGAAATGATCGCTGTTGTCGGAAGCGTTTTTTTATATTATGAAACGTTACTCTCCTGAATTTTGGAAGCAATTTACGTACATATATTGCACAAGAACAAACATACAGACCTGCAACCGCATCAATTATTTGTATGCCATAAAAATACTTGTTCCGTGCAGGATTCAAACACACGGCCCTCGGCGCTGTAATTCATCAGGCTTCAGTGACTTAGCACTGCGACACTGAGTCGTCAGATAATATTAATGTACAGTTGTGTAATTCTAACTCCATCAAACTTACCAAAAGGTTTACGAGCGTCTATTTCAACGGCGGTAATACCAGCAGCAGCACGGAGTTCTGCTAGAGTTTCGGAAAAGTATACGTCCAACTGAAAAATATGTGTAATCACTCCAGTACCCCATAGAGTATTTGGTTACCAATTAATTTTTGCAGCTAACTACTTAGGAAAGGGTTCAAGCTCGCGTACCCCTCGAGGCCAAATGATAAATAAAAAGTTAAAATCGTCTGAACAGTTTTAAAATAATAAAAAATCACATGGATTATTTAAATACAATAATACACACGGCGCGGCGGTAGCAAAATCATTAATTTCTATATTCTGATTACATTGATTCCCCCCTTTCTTAATACCTACTTAGGATTTGTGTAACCAGAACAAGGTATGTTACGATAAGGCTGACATATCCTTGTAGGATAAAAGCCTTTTTAAATAAAGTTAGGTAATAAAAAAGACAAAAATACGTGCACGTTGTACGTATTTTACCTTAGTCAAGTCAAGTGATATCCCTTAACTCTCACTTTAGTCAAGAATTCAATCTCGTGTATGGATGAGGATGGGGAAGAAATGTTCCGCAACAAGCTGCGTACCGGTAAGCGAAATGCAGAGAGGCCCCAATCTCAACTGTCAGTCAGCAAAGTGCAAGCGAATTGAAGAAAGGCCCCCTAACTAGATACAATGATGAACTGGTAAGACATGCAGATAGTCGATGCATGCAGGTGGCTTAGAACCGTACTTCGTGGCATTCCTTGGAAGAAGTCTATCTTTTGCAGTGAACTTGTGATGGCTGTAAGTGATTTTGGAAATTGGAACAAAGAAGAAAGTC